CCCCCCCGCTGAGTTCTACTCCCTACCTATTTAGGGCAACATAGGGAAATGGTACTCGACACACTTGTGTGTCAGTGCCTTTCCCTGTGTTGTTCCTTTTCTAGTCTTTCCTACCCGGGCGGTCTAAGACTAAAGTCCCGCTCCCTAGCTATTGCACGCAATTCATTTCTGCTAAGTAATCAGTAATTCTAGAGGGCTAAGTATTCATACACACACACGGACACACACATGTACACACACTTCCCTGCCCCCCGCTTTTCTTCTTACGCCTTCGGTCGTTTCTTGGGCTTTCTCTCAGGCTTTTTAGGTTGTTCTTGAGGCTCGTTTCCCTACCCCAGTCAAGGGCTAAGTAGTCATTTTTCCTACACCTATCTTTCTTTCTTCCCCTCTTAGCGCTGCTCTTTCTGTCTTTCTTTCCTTTTGTTTCTAAGGCTTTTTAGGTGACTATTTAGGTTTTTCACATGCGCGCCGCGAAGCGGCGCCGTATGTGTGCCACCGTTCTTTGAAAAAGCGCCGGAGCCGGCGACTTGTGTGTGTCCACCCCTGGACCAAGGGTTTCTTCCAACCGACTCACCTGCCACTTGTTCCACCACCGATTCACAAGCAGGGGGATCAGGGACGTTTGGCTTGGCCTGATCCAACGAAGCTCCAGCCATTCGTCAGGATATTCTCGAGGGACGCCTTGAGAACGTACCTGCAAAGTTCTTCACACGCTGTTACTCCACTCTTCCACGGTTTGTTTCATGGTTCTTCATGATACCTCCCACAAACCCACCGCCACCTTGCGACGCTTTGCAGCCGACTTTGAGTGTCAGACCGTTTTCGAATGCAGCTGCCAACAATGTTCAACAATACGGTTTTGCGGACTTATGCACTTTTCCTTTCCCTCGCCTTCCTTCCCAACGTGGTAACTGAGTCACTGAAAACCGATGTCAGAGTGTGTTGTTATTCATGACTCACCCGGGTTTCCCGATGCTCGCTGATGCTCGCCGATGCTCCAGGTGGCGGCCATCCGACAAGGCCTCATTGAGCCACGCAAGAAGGACGAGAAGTGAGCTATGTCACTGATGGTGGAGAACGGCAATGAATTCAAGGTTACAGCGAAGACTGACTAATTGAAGACTCGTTGATCTTTTGCACGATCACAAGATATCTGATCTCTTTCTTGATGCAATGCAAACGTGTTGCACCAGGTGCAAACCCGTTTATCTTTTGAAGTTTCAAGCACCCACTGGGCATGCCAGGGCATATCTCTTGCTGCTCACCGGGGGGTCCCGGAGGATTCCGACCCTTCGAGCCCGGGGCTTGAAGCGAACCAATTCCGGTCGACTTCTTCGAAGAGACCGGCCCCTTCCGACAGGTGTGACACGCGCATGACCTGCGCCGTCGCACGTGCGACACGCTCGATGTTTGAATCGCGGAGACCAAAACCAGGGCGGGTCGTCTGGAGAACGAGGGTGGGCGGCGAAGCGTCGACGGTCGGAGAACGGAGGGGGATCCCTGTCAGGAGCTCATGGAAATATGTTGGGATGGCAACTCATGGCATCGGCCCCTATTGGTTTCTCTTTTCTATAATTCCCTAATGTGCCCATTGCCCATGTGTTCAGTGGGAATGAAGTTCCTACTGCCATCCAATCCATGCATTGATAGGTACCCTTTTGAAACAGCCAGTACGAGCCATGGTCCGTAGCCAATAAATCAAAAGGATCTGAGACTACTGCGCTAGTAGCTAAGAACGATGGTTCTTGAGTAGTTCCATGTAAGTTCCCAAGGTGCCATTGGCGCCATGTTCTGAGTTCTGTGTATGTCAAGGGACCGAACATTGGGGGGATTTTGGGGGGTTGCCATGCCATTTCTGAATCGTCAGACCGACCGACCGCAGACTGCACAGCTCTGCACAGCGCCGTTGCTCCGCTGCACAGCTCCCAACACCTCAGACATCCTCAGACCATTTGTTCGCGCGTGCCCAGCTTTTTTGGAGTTGAGCATTGGACTTGGCCTGACTCGGCCCAACTCGGGTAGTTTGACCAAAAATCACCAGGGTAGGTTGACCATGGTTGCCCATGTCTGGTAGTCGATTCTGTTCATTCCTGGTATGGTTGACCTCCTTGGTATGGTCTCCTTCTTGGTGCAAAAGTCCCAGGAGTTGACCTCCGGTGCCATGACCCACAGCCAGTTTGAATTCATATCTTCCATGGTTCCTGAGCTTCTGAAGGCTGGATGAGGCACCTCTCTGTCTTCAAAAGCTATTGGGTTTCCGGAGTCGTTTCCGGATCCAAAAAGAAGACACCAGCAAGCAGGTCTCATCTCACCTTCCGACATGTGGTCCATCGCTGAGTCCTGCCCAGGATTGGCCCAACCTGGAAGAAGAGCAACTTCAAAGCTTTGACTTGGCTTTAGCCAGCGATGCCCCTTGGTCACTGAACTCCTTAGCCAGGAGACTCCACTCGTGCCGCTCAAGCGTCGTGTTCGATCCTCACATACCGTGCGTCGAGCTGAGTCTCGGTGTGACGGTCAGCCCCTGGTCAAACCTGCAGCAACCTGGGTTTTGCGGATTGGATCTTGTGTTTGGAGATTAGATTGTTTATTCGTGAAACATGTGGTTCCTGGAATAAACAATCGGTCATCCAAGTCATCCATCGGTCAATCCTCCATGCTTGGGAGGGCCTAACTGTTCAAGTGGTCATGAGGGGCCTAAGGAGTGCTTCTCGCAAGTCATCTAGCCTTGGCGTGAAGCTTTTTGTTGTAGCCTGCAGCTGATCCACCAAAACAGGTTCCCAGCTGGACACTTCGTGGTTTGTAGCTTAAACTATTCAGAACACATCCAGATCCTCACCTCTTCTCTACAACGCCATCACCTTCATTCTAGGTCGACCGCCCAGAAAACACCATCACTCCTGACGTGCTGACTCCGGCGTCCACCCTTGACGGCCTCCTCAAAAATACGAACCTCGAGATCTCAGCGTCCCCCTCGAGGTGGTCTACGAGCCTCACCATGCCATCCTTTTGCCGATGGTCATCTCTCGTTGGTTGAAGCCAGGCCGATGCGGACCCCCTTTGGGACGAAACGTGGGAAGCCGGACGACGGTGGACAGAGGTCGGGGGAGTGAGCGCAGCAGACGCGTGTGCGTGCACTTGAGGAGAGTGGAATCCGCGCCTTCCTACTGTTAATGGGAAGTTCAGTCAGGTTGTTTTGATGCTCCTTTTGGACGAACGCTAGGCTGGTGGTAGCCTCTCTTTGCTGGTTTTTTCGTCAGGAAGGTTCAGGGGCTTTAAGCATTCTACAACAACATTTGAGATGAGGCATGAGGAATGTCCTTTGCATCTGCAGGAGGCTGGTGGGCTGTAGCTTTGGCCATCCGTGATGAAGAGATGTGTGCCCTGGATGATGCTTGGGAGATCTGGCCTATTGTCCGACAAGTCCAGATCATCATAGAGCATCCAATCTAGACGAGATGACGAGATGAGATTGGAGTGTCGAGTGGCTTGTGTATAAACGACAAGATATTAGCTGCAGTGGACGTGCTGAGGGTGGTTACTAAGCACTTGGAAGGTGAGACGATATTCTGAAGGCTAAAGCAAGTTCACATCATTTCACAGCATTATCGGTGTTATCGAATGGACATGGCATATACATGGCATATATACAGACCCCCAAATAGATAGAAACACACAATTTCTTCCAACCTGTATTGGGACCACAAGCGGTGTTGCCTTGGACAACCTCCAGGAGACATCACAAATAGGTTATGTTTCTGAACTGACTTTTCATGACTTTACTATGAAGGGTATTCTTTCTGGCCGCCTCAAGCTTCTACAACATCAGCCATTTTCGGAAAGAGGGATCTTTCGAGGTCTTGAAGTTCAGGCGAAATCAATAAAGTGGATTCTTAGGATCCCAAGCAAGAGTGCCAGGCTGCCATTTATCTTATATAACTTATATATTATATTGTTACTTATTGTTATGTGACACCAAACCTATGCTCACCCCAGTCACTGCAAAGATGGCCATCTCGGGAGGTGTTCCAACTTTCGGATGGATTTGACCAGACTTACGCCGAGTCGCACTCCGTTTGTTCGTTTGACATCTTTGACAGAGAATGATTGAGTTGGGGAGCTGGAGCAGAATTTCCTGCACATGGAGATCATGGAGAAGGTACAGAAACCCAAACGGAACCAAATAGCATGTACGGAAGCTATAGCAGGTGTTCCTGGAAGCAAAAACTGCAAGGAATCCAAGTATACCTTCTGAGGATGTAGATTTTCCGCCCAGCGACCCCTGGCATTCTGGTGCGTTTTTTGCTGGTTCACCGTCCGGCGCTTCTCGGCTCAGGTTGTCGATTTGTGGAGCAGTTGGACTCCTGTGGACTTTATGACCCTGAGATGCTTGGACTGATGGCGTAGGCGTAGGGGACAGGTGTGAGAATAGAGGTGATCAGGTGTGATCAAGGGAATGATAGACTCTCTGTCTCTATGTACCTCCTGTCCTGAAGGAAACTCTTGGCTCTAACTCAGGCCCTGAAGGTGTTGTTTTAATCTGTATATATAATCTGTTTGAGTTCGAGTTTGCGACATGTTGGGCATGTGCCCAGAGTTCTGGATGTTCTTTGAACACACTCCCGAGCCATAAAAATCCATGGACGCCACGTTGTGGAATGGAACCCTCTTTGTTTGACTCCTTTCCTCGGGAGCTTAAGCTGAATGGTTTTCAGCTTCCATGTGGGCTCTTCCAGGGCGTAGGCGTAGGGGCACATGTGCTTCTTGCCAGCATGGCGTGGCCGTGATGGAACGGACCACGAAAGGCCCGACCTGCCTTCAGAAATGAAGGGTTCACGGGATGAAACCTCGATCTACACACTGGTAATGTCACAGGAGCTTTCTGAAGCGGATGTATGACCTACAAAATATTGTGGGGAAATGGATTGTGGCCTGTGAAGCTTCCTATGCGGCTCTTCCTTGTGGACAGAGTCAAAACCTCGGCATACCGTATACCAGAAAGTTTAAATGTCTACGAAAGAGGCAATCTCTTGATTCGATCAATTTTTTGTCCAAATAGACTGAATGCGTGTGTCAATTCATAATTCACCGTTGGTACTCTCCGTGTTTTGGACCAGTGGTACTCCTGGTGGTGGCACGTTTTGTCTTAGATGAGTCTCTTTGTCACATATACTCCCTCGGGTACCCCGTTTATGTGGAAGGACCTTGAGGTGCGAACTCATTTGGGGAAATGGATTGTTTATTGTTTTTTTTGTTTTTCTAATCGTGACTTTGGGTCTTTCGACCAAAAGATCGTATGACCGTGTATGACCCACAGTGTTGAGCCATCTTAAGCGGACCGTGCAAAAAAAAGAGCAAGCGCTGCGCAGAGCGCCAAGCCCGCGCCTTGCTCCAATGCTATATGCCGTCACTCATGGCCCCCGTTCGCCACGAGAGACCCGAGGCACCTCTACATTCAGACCGCCTGTGTACCCGAGAGACGCTGGGCAGAGCTGCAACAGTTTGGATGATCCTCCGCCCCACCCTGGATTGCCCAGTGAGACTCCTCACGATTTTTTTAAAAGCAATCTTAAGCAATCCTTATACTTGTACCGTTGTACCCTGAGTCGGCCCATCACTAGGATGTTTTTTGCTTCGGAGCACAGAGTAGGTTTGTGAAGGTGTAAAAATATCGCTGACGCTGCGTGACTCTGCGTGACTCTGCGTGACGCTGCGTGACGCTGCGTGACGCTGCGTGACTCTGCGTGAGAGTGAGTTTTAGTGTGGGTGAGAGTGAGTGTGAGTGAGAGTGAAGGTGGGTGAGTGAGTGCGGGCGGGAGTGGGAGTGAGTGAGAGTGGGAGTGAGTGTGAGTGAGGGTGAGTGTGGGAGAGTGAGTGAGAGTGAGAGTGGGAGAATGAGAGTGAGAGCGAGTGAGTGTGAGTTCGAGTGTGAGTGTGAGTGAGTGTGGAGTGTGAGTGTGAGTGTGTGGGTGAGAGTGAGTGTGAGTGAGTGTGTGAGTGAGTGTGTGAGTGAGTGTGTGAGTGAGAGTGAGTGTGAGTGAGTGTGTGAGTGAGAGTGAGTGTGAGTGAGTGTGTGAGTGAGAGTGACAGTGAGTGTGGGTGAGAGTGAGAGTGAGAGTGTGAGTGAGAGTGAGAGTGGGAGAGTGAGAGTGAGTGAGAGTGGGAGAGTGTGAGAGTGAGAGTGGGAGAGTGAGTGAGTGTGAGAGTGAGAGCGAGTGCGAGTGCGAGTTTGAGTGTGAGTGTGAGTGAGAGTGAGTGTGAATGTGAGTGTGAGTGAAGAGTGAGTGTGAGTGTGAGTGTGTGAGTGAGTGAGAGTTGTTCTTTCTTCTCTTGCTTTGAAAGCCGTAAAGTTTGATGTAATACGTTCTGCATGCGTCTTCATGCATCTTCGTACCTCTGCATGCGTCTTCATGCGTCTTCGTACCTCTTCATGCGTCTTCATGCGTCTTCATGCGTCTTCGTACCTCTTCATGCGTCTTCATGCGTCTTCGTCGATAATTGGGACCCCTCTATCGCCAACAATGCAGTCACCGAGCCGAAAACACTGAGGATGTTGCAAGCGAGCCATGCGCGACCTCCCGAGCTCCGAGCTGACCACCAAGAGGCGTGGATGCTCAACGAACGGGACAGGAAAACACTCCGCCCGACTGCCTTGTTGTTTTGTAGTGACTCATGGGAATCAATTTCTTGTGTTGAAATCCCCAAGGTGTTGTTTTGCCCTGAAACCATCTGAAACCTGTAGTCTCTGGAGGATTCACAGAATTCACAGATGCATCTGTAAGCCACACTCGTGGGCTTGAGGGGAAGAACGGAAAAAATGGGGCGTAGATCCCAGAATCATAACGGCAATAGATAGCAGCGTTAGAGGTCCTCATGTTTGAAGATCTTGTTCCACTTGCTAACGCAACTTTTCTTCATGGATGTAGGGAGTGTCCTATCTAATTATATAATTTGGAAGACATGTGATTTCTCTTTGGATCAGCGCCACACCCACTAGTAACAAGGTGCATTGCCACTAGTAGCAAGAAGCTACTAGTAGCTAAGTGCATTACTAGTAGTAACAAGAAGCTACTATTAAAAGTGCATCCCTGTTAATAGCTAATTTACTACTACTACTACTACTACTACTACTACCACCACCACCACCACCACTACCACTACCACTACCACTACCACTACCACTACCACTACCAC